TCAGATCAAGGCTCATTTATTTTCCCAGGTATTTTTTTGTGGGAGAGGCATGAATAGCTGGCTACATGACGGAGTATGTGTATTTACATATTGGAGATTGGTGAGAATTGGTTTTGTTCTTATAATATCTGTACAGGCACTCAGAACACAGGATGGGTGTGTTTTTCAATAAATATGTTAAATTGAAAGGGATGTGAATACTTCACCCCACTCTGACTATTGAAAACCTAACTGAAAAATGTTAGATAAAAATGAGGCGTCTACATCTATTTTCCTCTTCTGAGAGAGACCTTAATGACACTCTCAAAGATAATAACTTACAGGCATTCTAAAGTGTATTGTATTTTTGTATTTATTGACTCAGGATGCCTGTAAGTTGCTCATCATTTTTCTTGTCCTGTCCTTAGGAAAATAGAACACTTCTGTTAATTGTCTGAGAATCCATTTTGTGATATAACTTACCAATTTATGAGGTCCTATTGCTGAATTGCTCAATCATTAATTTAAAGCATGGATACTAATAATAAGTCAGAATACAATAGCCACACTTGGGAGTCTTTGGAAAAGATGTGCAAAGTCACTCCAAAAGCCCTGCAAAGGGAACAATGCAGTCACAGGAGGGAGCAGCGAGATTAGAAGTTTGAAAGCAAACCAATTACAAACTCGAAGCAGGGAAAGTGACATAATTAAAATTCTAAGAACGCAAGAAGATCAGCATCTCAGGAAAGGCAAGATAATAAAAAGTTTCAAATAATGCTGAGTAGGAACAGAAGCATGTGGAATATTTATTTAAAGTCAAGTTATATGTAAATACAGAATTTAAAAGAAAACAAATTGATGGCCGTTTTTTTTTTACAAATTGAGTTTAACTATGTGTCCAACAATGTGTCTGTATAGTCTGCTCACACAAATACCATTATTGTCTGGGAAATCACAATGATTACACATCCATCTGACTACCTATCCATCTAACTAATGGGAGTTAAATTCACCTCTGCAAGGAGGGCTGCACAAGGTTTACTCACCACTTAAATCCTACTTAAGTCCTCAAAATAGGACTTAGCTAGTGTAACGGATTGTACTGAATCTTCGGCACGGGGTGAATTTCATCAGTATTGTAGTGACTGTGTGTATAATTTGACATTTCTAAAAATGTGGCCCTAAGATTGCATCTGGAAAGCAAGAGATGATAAATTCTAGGACACACAAGCAGGAGAGAGACATTTTTAAAGACGTGATGATTCGGGAGGTTCTATAACTTAGGAGATATGTAATGAAACAATACTAGTCGGAGAATCCTGCATCACATGGCCAGGAAAACCTGGCCTCTGGAACAGGTTAATGATTTGTCTGAGATTTCATAGCTGAAACACATTGGCCCTGATTCTCCTATTGGGTGGCTTGGTGCACAACAGTTGAAAGTTTACATTGCACTGTACACTGGAAAAATGTGCAGCTGACAGAAAAACAGAGATGCCCTCTCTGCAATAGACATCAGTACATGCTACCCACAGAACAGGCGATAGCTGGGTCCAGGTAAACATAAAAGGAAGTGTCTGTTGGGGAAACTTAGTTGCTCCCCGTATTTCCCCAGAAAAGGCACATTTCAAAAAGGCTCAAGAACATAATGAAAAGCAACTGCAAGTAGCTCCACTCTATGCCCTTTTGAGGTACAGGAACGATTAGTGTCTCAGTGCCAGAGTCTTTTATATAATGGCAGGTCACCAAGATGCTGCCTTTCTGAATATGAGGTTCAGTGGATATATAATGATTACCAAGATAAAATGGAGTCTTCTGATCTTAACGACACAGTGATGGCCTATTATCAATTTGCATTACTTTCATGACTGCCTTTTAGACAAATGGATTGTTATGGTTTCTTTGTTTCCACTGCCCTTTACTGAACTGACACCAACTGTCAAGCACAGAACACCTAACAATATCATGGCTTTTTAGTGTGTCCACTGACATTCTGCTATGATTCCCCAGGACAAATGTCTTCCACTACCAGGCCTACTCCCCGAAGAGTGCATTTCCGTCTCCAAATGTCAACGTGTCAGCTGTGAGAACATTCTGTAGGTCATCGCTACTCCACATACCCATCTAGCAAGACATATAGGTTTCTTTTCCTGTTGCTTCTAGTCTATCATGCTGGCCATGTTACACAGAAAACTCTGTTTCTCTTTTCCTATCCCAGGATGCTGCCCTGGTGCACTGGGCTCCTTAGATTGCTGACCCGCTTGCTTAATGTTACCAGGTTTCTATGGGAAGGGACCAGGGTCGGTTGCACAGTATCTTTTGTGACAGGCCTGTCTGATTCCGATTGCCCATATCCAGTGCCGCTGTGCACTAGATGGCTCCTTCAATCCTTGCTGAATGCTGACCTATTTCAGTGCATAGCAGGGAGGACAGTCTTATGTAGGTCGCATCCTTCCTTTTCAGAACATTTTCTTTACCCCTGCCAGCTTCCTTACACTCAGGAGGACAATCAGATTTTAAACAATCCTTGCGGTGCCAGTATGATTCAGTTGCTAATACTCACCTTTGGGTTATGGGTCATGTTTTCAAGCCCAAACCAAGATGTTTTGCACATAACCACTGTTGAAAGCTGCAGTGCAGAGTACTAAGGGATGGTGAACTGATAGAGGTTCCTTCGGTCAAGTAAGACACTATACTAAGGTATGGTTGTGCACGTAAATATTTTGATACATAACCCGTTTTTCACCGTATCTGATATTACATATTGAAATATCAGATGTGAATAAAATTTGGCAGGAAACAGAAATTCCATTTCTTCAGCTTGCGTGTTGTATTAATGCTGCTTTCTCTTGGTAAGCGGAATGCGAGCAGCATGTTTTCTCAATTGAACACTAGAATTCAGTCAGTCATCCTAAGGTCTCCTTGTTTGTGCTTTTGTATCATTGCAACGTAGGCATTTTCTCTCATTTGGCTGCTATTTTAGGGCTTGTCTACATGTTGAAATTTAGTGGCATAATTATACCAGGATGCCCTCCTATGTGGACAGACTTATTCCAGAATAGAAGTATGCACACGGGGAGTTACACCAGCACGGCTCTAGTGGTGTCTGTGACAATTTGTTCGGTCTGTATCACTTCTGAATTGTGGATAATTTTATGAAACTGTATTGGATATGGATCCACATGAATTAACAGGGCTGTGTAAAGTCCATACCAGGTCAAAGACAATGGGGAGCGATTAGCACTCAATGTCATCTATTCCAAGTACAACACCTTGGGACAATGGCTTTGTGGTAGCTGGGAGAGGACACTTCCTACCCTTATCTGAAGCGAGGGAAATCTGAGAGCCATGGAAAAATACCAAAAGACTGAACAAAAGAAGCAGGTGACCCTAGCAGGAGTCTATAAAGGGATTCACGAGAAGGGGCGTTTGGGAGGGGAACATCTTGCACCAGAATAACATGAGGGGGTTGCTGCAGAGGTGACACAGGCAAAAGGGGTGGAGGACCCTGGCCTGCCTGACCTACAGAACACAGATGATCTCCCAAAGGAAGGGTGAGCTAGTGAGGGTCATTAATTTTAAGATGTTTCATTGTTCTGTATAAAATGTACTCTCACATGCTTTTGCATGATTAAATAGGAGCATAAAGATGTTACTGGGCAACGTGTGTGTTGACTGCTTCACAACTACTGTGTGCCCCTGGGAGACTGAAACTGTAAGCCAGAAGCTTCACAGATGTTGGGTGGAGTTCTGGGAGAGGGATGCATTTAAATATGGGGGAGTCTGAAGGGTAAGTGTTGCACCCAGAGGGGCTAGGCGGATGGACAGTGGGTTACAACACTTTGGAAGGGGGGGGGGGACAGATAGAAAGTGTGCACCCTGAGAGTGTGCCTAGGGACCCCAAGATTGGGGCAGTGCCTGGACGCCATTCAGGCCCCAGGAGCTTGAAACACCATAGGAGGCTGGAATTCCCCCCACAGTAGTCCCAGTGAGGGGCCAGAAAAGGGCACTCGCCAGGATCTGTGATAGTGTTATTACATCGATATCAATATGCTGCTACATTTCCCCAATTAGACCAGGTCTACACTACGGAGTTCAGTAGACACTTATGTCGACCTAACTCTAAGTGTCTACACTACAGCATTGCTCCCACCGATGCAAGTCCCCCACTACGCCGACCAAATAACCCCACCTCCACGAGAGGCGTAGCGCTTAGGCTCGATGTGATTAGGGCGACACAGCGTCTGTACAGACAATGCATTACTTACATCACCTGTCAGCTCTGCTACCCTGTCTGGTGCTGGGAGCCTGGGCTCTCAGCTAGCTGGGAACTGGGGGTTCCACGGGGAGCTGAAAGCCAGGTTTCAGGTCCAACACCCACCCTTTTAAGTTGGTGCAAGCGCTCCTGGTGAGGACTGGTGACCTGGTGACCTCTGACAAAAGGAGGTTGACTTAAGTGTAGACCAGGCCTTAGACAAGAACTCATAGATGGTGGGAATATTGCCATGACTTAACTGACTAAGGCAAAGAAAGTGCAAATTGTTTTAGGAGTCATAGCTAGTACCAGCGTCTGAGTCAGCCGCAGATATACAACAGCATCTTCCCTTGGGAACCAATTCTGCAGTCCATTCTCAGACTTAAAATGCCACTGAATGCAAGTAATAGGCACTTGAGTGTTAGACAATAAAAACAATTTAAGTTGCAAAAACACCCATTTAACTCAGTTTTCAACAACTGTTAATGTATGTTAAGTAATTCATTTCAGATGGCATTGTTAGATCTTGACTACCAGTTATAGTGTATCTTTCTAAGTATACACATTACCACCAAATGCAAACAGGAATGGAAGAGCATTGAAAAAATACAGTTGTAAAATACAAGGCTAAGTCAAACCCTCAGCTTTAAGGTATCCCAAACTTTGAATAAATCTGAAGCGGGATCTAATTTTGCAGCACAGCCCACCTCTGACAGAGAAAAAGAGAGAGAAAGAGGTATATGTGTACATCATGAAATATTTTTACCTTGATCAAATGGTTTGTTTGGGTTCCAGTTTCTGAAATAATCATCCTAAATGGGGGGGAAAAATAGGAAATTTAGAGAAAATGTAAGCAGTCTTTTTCTACAGTTTTACAAACAATACCTGCCTTCTCACTGCTCCCTGAGAATAAAATAAAAATTAAACAGATAAAACCATTAGCACAGTACATCATAAGATACAGACTGAACACCGTTGGGGAAAATGAAAATTAAGAAAAGCTTACAGGATTCAGCATTTCACTTTAATGCCCTCTGCCAAAAATGTTTTTCCAAATCTGGATTTTCAGCAAATAACTTCTGTAATCTCCAGAACATTTCCTAGCATCTTACAATGCCATGTGACAACTTATGGCAATAATGTAGATAGTATGTTGTTTGGGGAATGCAGGATGTGCCAAATCAGGCTTCTCCAATTACCCTACACCAGTGTAAATCCAGAATAATTCCACTGATCTGCTCCAGATTTACTGTAGGGTAGTACATCACAATTTGACCTTAAACTCTGCACTTCAGAGCAAACACCTAGTAGCAATGATGTAATTGAACTATTTTTGTCCATGTTTCCATTATGATAGGAGTTTGTAATTCAGCTGTAAAAACGTTATTCTGCAATGTGATTTACGGCTTTGTTTTGTATTTTATGTAACTCAGATTCTCACATAAATTACAGCAGAAAACATAGGAAATAACTTATCAGAAGCCACTAGGGTATCTGGCCAACAAATACCCTGTTTTGTTTTTTTTTAAAGTGTATACAAACCTTCTAGCAGAAAGCACAGAAAACCCCTTTCATGCATCTGCCCAAAGTGAATTTTAAACTCCTAGCAAATGTTTATATGTTGGGTAAATTTATATCGCTCCAGCAGGCCATCAGCTTATGCCCTGAAGTATGTAGATTCAAACAAAAGCCCCTTTATTTGGTTTCGGTATATTCCATATACCTCTCACATAGCCTTCTTGAACGGAAGTGATCAAAACTGAACAAAGGATTTGAGGTGAGGATGCACCATCGACTTATATAATGCTATTATAATTGTTTGCATATTATTCTTTGTGCCTTTTTCACCCTTTGCACCTCGTAAGGAATGCAACCTGCTGCATGCTGGCCTCACTCTACGACCTGGCATTGAGTGGTTGTAGGGCTACAGCCTCCTCTGGGGGCACCTTGCACCCTTAGAGGAGGATGGATGGGGGCCTCCTGTGCTCAGTAAGCACTGGGGATGCAATTCTGCCTGGCTCTTACATTGACTATATCATTGGAGAGTGGAATAGCGCTTCCTGTGCCATCCCATTTGTACACCCGCATATGGGTAAGCAACTCTGGCCCAAAGCCTGTAAAGACCAAGGACAGTTATGATACCCAGTAGCAGCTTCAGCAAAGATGACTATTTATAATTTATTTTATAGGCATCAAAAGCGTTCTAGGCTTTTTCTTCAAAAGGACAGGATCTGGCACCAAGAATGAAGACTCAGCCTTGCCTTTGAATTCCTTAGCTTTGTTATGCTGAAAATTTTATTTTCATACAATGTTTTGTAATTGATTATGCTTTGCTGCTGGATTTACCAAGCATTAATCACTTTTGATTAATGAGACTTTTTTAAACCGAGTCCTTTCTTCTGGTAGCAGAATATTCTTTTTCCTACTTACAATTTTCTAAGTGTTCATTTTGCTGCCTTTTTTTTAAAGCAACAGAAACAGTTTAATAATTCATAGCCCACGAAAGATTTCTTATGCTGCTGGCATATGGAACCAGTTCTGAAATCAGGAGTGGAGGATAAACCTGATGTACAAAATGCAAATGTACAGGCACTTGAGAAGGGTTTTAGCTTAACTTCAGTGTTACATGAACATTTCACTGCAAACACACCTTGTGCTTAATAAGGTGCAAAAATATAGAATTTTTTAAACCTATGTCTAGTCCATCTTCCAATCCTATTTGTCTTTCTTTTTTAAAAAAAAAAGAGCAAAAAAAAAAAAGCTGAAATAATTTTATTTTAGAACATTCATGACAAGACTTCATGCCAAAATACCATAGGAAAATACACAACAAAAAATAAGAAAAAAAAATATAAAAGAGAAGAAAACCTTTGAGTTTTGTTGGTGTGTTTTTTGTTTTGTTTTTAATAAAAGCTTTAATGACTTATAAAAGAGTAAAGATTAGTACATGCAGCTTCAGAGAGACAACTGTTCAACTGTGAAGCAAAGCAATACAAAACAAAAGAAAACGTAACACTACAGTTTCAATCTGATGGCATTCATTTCTGGCCGAGCCAGGAGCTGATTGGTATATTAAGGGTGAAATTACCCATTCATTTCTGTACAGAAGGCCCAGAAAAAAAGTTTGTCACATTTAAGTCCTACCTAAGATGATGATTTAAGTGACGCATTGACTTTGTGTTGATTCTCTGCAGAGGGTTGAAATTCACTCTAAACTAATTTGATATATGATTTTTGAAACCATATTTTTAGAACTACATAACGCTCTTAATATCTCTCACTGTAAATGGGTCTTTCAAATTGCTGCCTGATTACTGCTATTTCCTACAATGAAGTCCAGTACATTGATATTAGGCCATTTAATGCCTCTCTATGTAAAGAGACATCAAAATGTGCAGAAATGTAGGTGATAGTTCTCTATGGCAAGTTGTGGCACAGTCTGCCATTGAAGGCGATAAAATAAAAATATAACTGGAAATAAGATTGGCTAAAAAATTAATTCTAAACACAAAAAAAATGAATCATAAGATCAGAACTGCTGCACAGAAACGCATTCAGTTTCACAGCTTTTTTTTAAACCAGGATCGGTAGTAACATATGTGGATAGTTCTTCCAGTGTGTGAGAATCCATTTCTGCACAACTGTACAGTACCAGGGGAGTTTTTAATGAGATCTACACTTCTCCACGGGACTAGAAAAGCCCTGCCCATGATTCCATGCAGCTGTGTAACCTGCAGAAGCTTGTAATAGGTTTAACAGTGCATTACAGATGTTCATTATTTTTATCCCTAAACACCCTCTCTGTAGCTGAATGGAATATAGGGCTAGTGTGACTGCCACCATCTCGGTGAACATCAGGGGCTTAACAGGTGATCTCCAGAAAGTGCAAGTCTCTATATCTTACACTAAAAAGCTGAGCTCCATAGCTGGCTTGCCACCCCTGAGGTGCTTGGGCGAGCAGCCCGAATACATACCCAGGTGGACGGGCAGGACTGTACTTGGGGTATCTAGCCACCAGTATGGCAGTGTCCACACTGCTATTCTTAGGCACTAGAATGTAGACATACCCTCAAAATGAAGAGGGACCAGAGCTGGAGGAAGTATCCACTGCACCCTTTTAAGGGATCCCGTCTCCCACTCCTGCTTCTGCTCCCCCAGGATTCCTAAACACAATCTGGTGGGATATCCAGAATCCTGCCAGGGACTGCCACTGAAACAAAGGGCCATTCTTTCCATTATCTTCCTTCTGTCCCTATCTCCACTGCCTGCTCGTCCCTCTTCTTCACCCCTAGCTAGGCATTGGCAGGGGCATTCAGAGCAGCGGGAAGAGTCTCCTTGTCCTCAGTGTAGGTGGCTAGTACCACAGTGCTCCTGGTGACCAACAGGTATAATTCAAGGAAATACTGTTGCCCAGGACCGCCCAAAGGGGGGGCAAGTGGGGCAATTTGCCCCAGGCCCCACAGGGGCCCCCACAAGAATATAGTATTCTATAGTATTGCAACTTTTTTTTATGGAAGGGCCCCCGAAATTGCTTTGCCCCGGGCCCTCTGAATCCTCTGGGCAGCCCTGCTGTTGCCAAGTCTTTGAAGCCCTGGTGGATGGCTGAGATTCCAGTAGTGATGTAGGAATACATAATAGGAATGCCAAACGTGCGGTC